GTCCGCTTTCTGTTCGTCGGCGATCAAGTCTTGACTGAGTGCATCAGTATGCACGCCGAACATCTCAGTACGAGATAGGGTATCGGCAACAGTGTTATCCGAACCCTTAATGTACCTAATATCAGTAGTAAATTGAGATATATAGTCCAGATATCTGATTTCCCTCGAAGTGTATTTGTCCGAATTGGTGGACATAATGGACGTTAAAGGTTTGTGGTCCGTAAAGATAACGAAGGACCTACCTTCGAGGAGGTGTCTGAAATGCTTAACAGCACGAAATATAGCCAACAGTTCACGAGAAAAGGTACTGTAGCGTGACTGGGCAGGAGAAAGTTGAGCGGAAAAGAACGCTATGGGTTTACGTTGAGAAGGACTGACTTGTTCAATGACCGCGCCTATTGCTGTTTCGCTAGCGTCAGTGGTCAGGTAGATATCCGATTGAGGGTCGTCCTCTAAGAAACTGAGCTTAGAAAAATTGCCTAGAGCGGTTTTAGCTGCTCGAAAGGCGTCCAAGGCTTCGTTCTCAAGTATAATAGTCTTATTCTTCTTCTTCTGTAATAAGTTGGTAAGGGGAGTCAGGATGTTAGAACAGTTTGGAATAAACCTCCCGTAGAAGTTGATCATCCCTATAAAGCGTCTCAACTGTTTAATAGAAACAGGGACGGGAAACTCAGTGATAGCTTTAATCTTTTCAGTTAAAGGGGCAATTCCATTTGCATCGACATGATGTCCTAAAAATTCTATATGGTCTGATCCGAAAACACATTTGTCCAGGTTTAGGCGGAATCCGTAATGAGACAAACGTTGAAGAACTTCGTGTAGGTGTTGTTTATGCGAGGCAGCGTCCTCGCTAGCTATCAGAATGTCGTCAATGTAATCGAAAACAAAAGGGAGTCCACGCAGAACCTCGTCCATAAGACGCTGAAAGGTCTGTGCTGCGTTGCAAAGGCCGAAAGGCATTTTCAAAAATTCAAATAAACCGAAAGGTGTAGTAACAGCAGTTTTTGGGACATCAGCAGCAGCTACTGGCACCTGATAATATGCTTTTGCGAGATCTATTTTAGTAAAAATCTTTGCGCCTTGTAAACCAGAAGTGAAATCGTGGAGGTGGGGGATTGGATAACGATCCCGGACGGTGATGGAATTCAATCTTCTATAATCCACACAAATTCTATAGTCTTCCTTTCCTGGTTTAGGTACCAAATGAAGAGGGAAGCGTAGGGACTGTCGGACGGACGAATAACACCCTCTCGTAGCATGTCGTCGAAAGCTTTCTTTGCGAATTTTAATTTGTTAGGTGCTAGACGACGAGGACGGAAAAACAGGTTGACCAGTGGTCTTAATAAAGTGCTGTGTTTGATGTTTAGTTGAATCAATAGATCCAGCAGGACGCAGGAGGTCCTGGTACTGATTCAATAAATCTAAGTACTCTTTATTGTGGCAAGTTGCCACGGTGATGCCAGTGGTGGTAAGTTTAGAGTAAGTGCCAAGAACACACAGTCTTGTTAAGTTGTCTGTTAAGGAATGATTGTTCATTCGAACGGCTAGATCATAGTGCGCCAGGAAATCGGCACCCAATATCGGCATCTGGACGTCAGCAACAGTAAAATTCCAGGTAAAGTCTCGTCGCATTCCTATGTTTAGGGTAAGGGACTTCGTACCGTAAGTATTAATACTGGAACCATTTGCTGCTTGTAGGCGGAGCTGGAAAGGTTGTTGACGTGCTTTATCACGCACGGGTAAGACACTAATGGCAGCGCCGGTGTCAACCAAAAAACGTAAATTATTACGTGTATCCGTCACATAGAAGAGGCGACTAAGTTTTGGTGAAAATGCCTTGCCAGCGAGATTAGTCGCTTTCACTCGCTGGCGGTTTTGTTTTCCGCGACCGCAGTATAGGAACACGGCTTGGTGCAGTAGTGTGCTGCAGACCCAAATCGTCGGTGGTAGTAACACATAGTAGAAGTGGCATCCTTGTTCCGACTGGACGAGCGTGGTCGACTTCTGAAGCGCCGGCGGGAGGGGAGCCGGCTTCGACCATAGCTTTCTATAGCTAACGTTAAATCTCTAACTTCGCGTTGCAAATCCTCCACTGCTTTTTCCAAGGACTTGTCACTAGTTGTCATTCTGGCTATCGAATTTATGCACGTTTATATTTCAGCTTGCTCAGAATTATGTTGGCAAGGTTGCACAATTATTGCGTGTTCAAATCACGTCGGGGTCACCAAACTTGTTGCAGGCCCGGTAGGGTGCGGTGCTGTTTTATTACTAAGTGGCCTTGTGCCAGACACCACACTAAACTACCGAGTCTACAAGCAAAGTAAAAAAAAAAAAAAAATATGCGTGAATGAACAACGAAGAAATGTGGTTAATCCACACGTGCATAAAATAAAATATATTAAGATAGCCGACACAGAATGACAGAAAAAAGACTGGATTCCAACAAGAGTAATTTTTATTAAATGCAGGAAAAACAAGTAAATTATCCCGTAGTCGGGATCAATGAAAAAGTTCCGCGCCAAAAGTAGAAAATAAGATGGCTAAAGGCGGGAAGGTTCTTGAAGAAGAAAGGTTCCAGCTAAGTCAATGTACATGATAATATTCATACAAGGAAAAAATACTCACTGCGAGTTTTTAGGTAATGTGAGTGAATGTTATGTACATATTTCTTTTCTTTTTTTTTGTACTGGTTCAAAACAGATTTATGACGAGACCCAAAGTGGACGATGAATTAATATTTTGTATGTTCTGCATCGTCTCGGAAAAGGACTTTGAATGACGAGCCAAAAGGGACGAGGAATTAATTATCTGGTATTTGCATTGTAAGATATCCCTCGTCTGCCAACCTTGCATATTGACATGGCTAAAATGAGTCTGCTTAGGTCCGAGTCTGGATCACCTACTGACTTTTCTGAAACAACAGTTTGTCGTTGACGTCACAAATTTTTTCGCGGCAAGATTTCAAAATCTAATTTGCATAGCAGGTCGTTTGACTGTCGACCAAAAACAGTTACTACTGTATTAGACCGACAGAGGGAGAAAGGGGTGTCAAACGCGCGCGCGCGCCCGCGAGTGTGAAAGAAAGGGAGGAAACTCGCGCGCGCGTAAAATGTCGTAGATGGAATAATACATTATTCCACAAATCAAATACAGTGTAACCCGGATATAAGAGAGCCGGATATAAGAGAAACCCGGATATAAGAGAGATTTTCTCTGATCCCAAATTAGAGCCTAAAAAAAATAGACCAAACCCGGATATAAGAGAAACCCGGATATAAGAGACTTCTTCTCCGGTCCCGACAACTCTCTTATATCCGGGTTACACTGTATAAAGAAAAGAGGTCTAGATTTCATAACTGGATATGAATATAAAATTGAACAATTTGATGGACTACAAAAGAAAGATAATGCTTTCTTAATTATTGCATTATTATTTGTTATGACTGATATTACTCTAAAACTCTTCTAACCAATTATTACAGGTTTATTTACTATTTACTATGTCAAATAAATTCTGAGCTCTTAAGACATTTAATTGGTATAATATACACAACATCCTTGTATTGTGAGAATACATTGCTAAGCATAAAAGCACTTGTTGCAAACTTCATTGCTGGTGTTGGATAAGCCAACAACATTACCACTGTCGCGGTCGCCGATTATCCGCTCCTTACAAAGCCGACCTTGACCTTCACAACTCTCGATCTCGCAGATCTAGGTCAAGCAACAGGCCAGAAACCGGACGGCTAGTCCAATATCGTTGATGTCAAACCATACCTAGTACGCATCTGACTATGCTGAGCCATTCTAAACATCGGCAACTATAGACTATAATTTATTATCTACGGCCTTCTACTCCTCTAGCCAGGGAGTACTTGAACAAATCTTTGCAAATATCCTTAGACACTTTTTTTCCCCCAAACTAGGCAGCTCGGCCCGGAGGCCTGGATCAAAGTGTAGTACACTACCTTTGTGAACTTCCGGTGCTTTTGTCGAGAGTGTTACTCTTCGGCGCGATCCCGTCTCCACGGTCGATCCGCCCTGGAAGGTGTAACACCTCTCTGACCTACCTCGCCTGGTGATACACTCTGGCGCGATCCCGTTTCCGCGGTTGATCCGCCCTGTGGAGTTGTATTACTGGTCTGCCTTGGCCCTGTTTAGGGACTCCGTCTTCGCCTGGTGATACACTTTGGCGCGATCCCGTTCCCGCGGTCGATCCGCCCCGTGAAGTAGCATCACTGGTCTGCCTTGGCCCTGTTTAGGGACTCCGTCTTCGCCTGGTGATACACTTTGGCGCGATCCCGTTCCCGCGGTCGATCCGCCCCGTGAAGTAGCATCACTAGTCTGCCTTGGCCCTGTTTAGGGACTCCGTCTTCGCATTTCGGCCGAACCAACTACGTTCGCCTACCAAACCTAAACTACCAGGCCAGACCAACTACATTCTACCGAACCAACTACGTTCGCCTACCAAACCTAAACTACCAGGCCAGACCAACTACATTCGACCGGACCAGCTACATTCTACCGAACCAACTACGTTCGCCTACCAAACCTAAAAACTACCGGGCCAGACCAACTACCGGACCAGACCAGCTACAATCGACCGAACCAGCTACGTTCGTCGATTAACCAGTTTTCGGACCACACCGATGTAAATGTGAATAAAAACGACACTTTTGTTCATAACAAAAACCTTTGCCTTTGTCCCGTCATTGTCTTGGCTGTTCACATTTATCGTATACTTAAAAACCTTGCGGGGGCGACATCCTACTATTATTCGGCCCCGCAACAAGTGGTGACTCCCCGACGTGAGACAGCTAAGCGATGATGGAGTCGGCTAAAAGTGATTCTTTGGACATGACGGCTGCGATCATGCCTTCTGCCTGCATACCACCATAATGCCAAGAACTGGTTCTTGCAGGTGAATCCATCTTTTTCAATTACGCATTACTTCACAGCGAGCCAGATTCGCGAATGTAATGCAGAAACTCCCATCTGATATGATGGACGAAATTTCTGATGTCCTCTCCGATTTGCGCGAGCATGAACCGTACGATCACTTAAAGGAAGCAATCCTCAAGCGAACCGGACGTTCCGAGGAAGATATGATCCAAGAGATACTGCGGAACGTCACTAGAGGCGATGAAAACGCCATCCCAGCTTCTCAGATATATGAGGAACCAGCTGGGAAAGCACAACGTATCAGAAAAGGTTCTTCGAGGTTTATGGCTGGAGCATTTGCCTAAATCTGTTGCACAAATCATCGCACCAATGACGAGAGCCACGCCTCTGGATGATTTGGCAGAATCTGCTGATCTTGTTTTTGCACAGTTCGACCAAGCGTTAACGCTGTTCGCGCCCCGACATAGCGAAGCACGAACGCTACGAGCCCAGTAAAACGGAACGGGCGTTGGCCGACCTTCAACGGCAAATTCGGGAGCTCCAGATCTCCCTGCGCCCGCGGACGAGGACATCGACCCCATCTCGACGGAGACGAACCCCAGCCGAGAACGGCGAAGCGACCAGGGTGTTTGTTGGTTTCATCGCACATTCGGCGATGAGGCCAGGAATTGTAAACCTCCTGTACACACCCGTCGGCCCGGGGAAACGAATAAACCGGAGAGTCGCGACGACTAACTCTTCCGGTGCCAACACGCAATGTCGTCTATTTTACGTTTGGGATCGACGGAACAAGTTGAAATTCCTGGTGGACACAGGTGCGGCCATCAGCGTGGTACCCCTTCAGAACGACCACACCGCTAAGCCCACCCTGATCAAACTACGAGCAGCGAATGGTTCCGCGATAGACACGTACGGAGAAAGGACCCTTACTTTGAATATCGGCATGCGACGCGATTTCACTTGGACATTTACCGTGGCCAACGTGAAGGTACCCATCCTCGGCGCGGATTTCCTGGCGCATTACGCACTGGCGGTCCATATGAACCCTAGGACTCTGTCCGATACGACGACGAATCTCCGTGTCTTAGGTACCCCTTTACACGTCAAGGCTCCACAGGAATCAGCGTCGCAACATGCCATGGTCGCGAGTACTTAGATCTCCTGACGCAGTTCACGGATATAACGCTGCCACTCCAAGTAACGGCTTCAGGTGACCATCAGACTCAGCACCACATCAGAACCCGAGGTCCTCCCGCACACTCCCATCCGCGACGACTCGCTCCGCACAAACTGGCGTACGCCAAGGAGCAATTCGACAAAATGCTCAGTGATGGCATCATTCGTCCTTCCGATAGCCCTTATGCCTCGCCACTACACTTAGTGCCTAAACCTGGTGGTGAAGAATTTCGGATATGCGTCGACTACCGGAAATTGAATGCATCGACCGTACCAGACCGATATCCTGTCCCTCATATCCATGATTTTGCATCCGGATTGATGGGGCTCGCATCTTCTCGAAAATCGACCTGACAAAGGCATACCACCAGATCCCCGTCGCTGCGGAAGACGTCCCAAAACGGCAGTCACAACACCGTTTGGCCTATACGAAAAAAATGCCGTTCGGTCTACGTAACGCTGCCCAGACCTTCCAACGACTCATAGACGAAGTCCTGCGCGGACTTCCGCATGTATACGCCTATATCGACGACATCTTGGTGGCCAGTACAGACGCCGATTCTCACAGACAACACCTGCGAGAAGTCTTCCAGCGACTCGCACTACGGCCTGAAGTTGAACCTGGACAAGTGCGTTTTCAGGGCGCCCAGCGTTGACTTTCTCGGGCACCGCACCGACGCAGACGGCATAGCACCTCTGCCAGACAAGATCAGCTCGATCCGGGACTTTCCTACACCGACGTCCATGAAGCAATTGCGACGTTTCCTCGGCATGCTCAATTTTATCGTCGGTTCATACCAAATTGCGCTACCATCCTCCAGCCACTGACGAACCTGCTGCAGAGAAGAAACAAGGACATCTCTTTGGAGGAGATGCTCTGCACGCATTCCATACAGCGAAGGCTGCATTGGCGAATTATACCAGGCTCTCGCATATCAACGACGATCCAGAGACACGACTATTCCTGACGACCGACGCATCCGACGCTGGTGTGGGCGCGGTGGTTGAGCAAGAGTTCAACTCACAACGCGAACCCATCGCATTCTTTTTCAGCCAAGCTTTCGCCAGCCCAGAGAAAATATAGCACCTTCTCCCGAGAGCTGCTGGCCATTTATCTGGCCGTCAGGCATTTCAGGCACTTACTGGAAGGTCGAGATTTTACCATCTATACCGACCATAAACCGTTGACAACCGCGATGAGTAACAACTCTGACAAGTATACAGCTCGCGAGATCCGGCATCTCGACTACCTGTCACAGTTCTCGACCGATATTCGTCACATAAAGGGAAGGACAACGCCGTCGCAGACACATTATCGCGAGCGGAAATTCAATCTCTTCAGACCGGCGTCTTGGGTCAAGATTCCATAGCCGCTGAACAAAATCCGACCCCACGCTGCAAGACGTCCTTTCGAATACTTCTTTAAAGCTTCGGGAGTTCCTGCATCCTTCAGCGACGACACCCTGTACTGTGACACCAGCCTAGCAAGCCCTAGGCCCTACATCCCACCGACACTTCGGAGACAGGTATTCCAACATTTCCACGGGCTGTCTCATCCAAGTAAGCGAGCTACGGTCAAACTTATTACCGACCGATTCGTTTGGCCCAATATGAATGCGGACATTCGAGAATGGGTTTCCACGTGCATGGAGTGCCAGAAGTGTAAGGTCCACCGACACTAAATCCCCGTCGGCACCTTCAGCAGTCCTGATGCACGGTTCTCATACATACATGTCGACTTAGTGGGACCGCTTCCGATGTGTCAGGATTACCAGTATCTTTTGACGGTTGTGGATCGTTTTTCGCGGTGGCCGACCGCCATACCTATAAAAGACACTTCTGCAAGCACCGTCTCCAAGACCATCCTGAGAGAATGGATCGGAACTTTCGGCACGCCCCACGTTATCACGACCGACAGAGGGGCACTGTTCCAGTCGTCCTTTTTCGGGAGTTTACCAACCTGCTCGGTGCCAAGCACATCAAAACTATCGCTTATCTGTGCGCCAACGGCCTAGTGGAGCGGTTTCATCGGTTTCTAAAAACCTCCCTGGCCACTAGACATGACACTACCAATTGGATGGACAACCTACCTCTGATTCTCCTAGCATTGAGGAACAGGGTAAAGGAGGACTTTGATTGTTCACTCGCCGAACTGGTTTTCGGTACACCTCTTGCGCTACCCGGCGAATACTTCGACGACTCCTTCAGACGTTTTCAAAACCAACATCTCCTTTCGTCGAGGAACTCCGCCACAAAATGGCCCGGCTTAAATATGCAACTCCACGACAGCAACCGGTGAATTCGTACATCCCTCAACACTTGCGAGATTGCAAATTCGTTTTCGTACGGAACGACGCCGTGAGACGACCACTCACGCCGGCATACCAAGGTCCTTTTCAGGTTCTTCGACGCACCGACAAGCACCTTACGATCAAGCGCGCCAACTCGACCGACACCATCGCAATCGATCGGACCAAGCCTGCTTTTCTGGAGAAGCGACAGTATGACGCAAACCCGGCTCTGCGGCCCCCTAATGCTATTCCAGCGCACCCATCAGACGCAGCACCGCAGACATCAAACGACACCCCAGCGACTCCTGTGCGGCAGACCCGATCCGGTAGGAGGGTCACTTTCCCTAAAGACCTTCGTAAATATTATTATTATTAATTGATACGATCAATTTTCTAGGGGAAGGGCCTTGTCGCGGTCGCCGATTATCCGCTCCTTACAAAGCCGACCTTGACCTTCACAACTCTCGATCTCGCAGATCTAGGTCAAGCAACAGGCCAGAAACCGGACGGCTAGTCCAATATCGTTGATGTCAAACCATACCTAGTACGCATCTGACTATGCTGAGCCATTCTAAACATCGGCAACTATAGACTATAATTTATTATCTACGGCCTTCTACTCCTCTAGCCAGGGAGTACTTGAACAAATCTTTGCAAATATCCTAGACACTTTTTTCCCCCAAACTAGGCAGCTCGGCCCGGAGGCCTGGATCAAAGTGTAGTACACTACCTTTGTGAACTTCCGGTGCTTTTGTCGAGAGTGTTACTCTTCGGCGCGATCCCGTCTCCACGGTCGATCCGCCCTGGAAGGTGTAACACCTCTGACCTACCTCGCCTGGTGATACACTCTGGCGCGATCCCGTTTCCGCGGTTGATCCGCCCTGTGGAGTTGTATTACTGGTCTGCCTTGGCCCTGTTTAGGGACTCCGTCTTCGCCTGGTGATACACTTTGGCGCGATCCCGTTCCGCGGTCGATCCGCCCCGTGAAGTAGCATCACTGGTCTGCCTTGGCCCTGTTTAGGGACTCCGTCTTCGCCTGGTGATACACTTTGGCGCGATCCGTTCCGCGGTCGATCCGCCCCGTGAAGTAGCATCACTGGTCTGCCTTTGGCCCTGTTTAGGGACTCCGTCTTCGCATTTCGGCCGAACCAACTACGTTCGCCGACCAAACCCTAAACTACCAGGCCAGACCAACTACATTCTACCGAACCAACTACGTTCGCCTACAAACCCTAAACTACCAGGCCAGACCAACTACATTCGACCGGACCAGCTACATTCTACCGAACCAACTACGTTCGCCTACCAAACCTAAACTACCGGGCCAGACCAACTACCGGACCAGACCAGCTACAATCGACCGAACCAGCTACGTTCGTCGATTAACCAGTTTTCGGACCACACCGATGTAAATGTGTGAATAAAAACGACACTTTTTGTTCATAACAAAAACCTTTGCCTTTGTCCCGTCATTGTCTTGGCTGTTCACATTTATCGTATACTTAAAAACCTTGCGGGGGCGACATCCTACTCGGCCCCGCAACACCACCTTTATTTATTGTTAAGTCAACAATCATTACATGGTGTTTTTACATTCAGTATTGTCCACCAAGTATAAAATATGTTTAGTATTCTGCAACTTCTGCAAAGTTAGCCAAATATTTCTTTTTCCCTAAGGTAAGAAATCCCTGAATAGTGAATTAATTAGAAATTTGCCAAACTAATGAAGCATTTTTCCTTTCAAAACTAGTAGAAGAAACAGCCTTTGAGTTCAATTTATAGTAATACTAGCAGCATGCCCCGGCGTTTCCCGTGCTTGATTAAAAAATCGTACGACTCATACAGCAATCGCTATCACTTGACTTAAAATATTTTTGTCCTTCTTTGCCTTTAAAGGAGTGCCCTTTGCAGTGCTGATGTTGCTACATGCCTTACTTCTTGCTTATCTCACACTGCGAATTTTTTCTAAGCTCTATACTAAACATTAAATCTGTTACGAAAAAAGAACTAAACAAAATGAACACAAAACGATCAGCTTTAAAAAAGGACTCGTAACTGGAAAAACCGAATGAAAAAAGAATGTTAACAACAAATACTTTTTAACACCCAACCCAGTTCTGTGGAATCAGAATCAACGTTTAGTTTAAGAAAGTGAATGAGCCAATTGGAGTAAAGTGCCATGCAGATTTAAATTTTTCCCACTTGTGACGAATGCAGCTATCGATTTTTTTGCATGCTAGCATGCTAGTTAGCATTCGTGTCAGTCAGCTGTTGGCTCTCACGCTGGCCAATAGAATCTTCCTGCCTATTCGTGGCAGCCAGCTATAGGCTCTCACTCTGGCCAGTAGAAAATGGCCGCAAACTACATGAAAACTGCCGTAGAAGCATGAAAAAATCGATTATTTCCACTATCGATGGTAGTTGGGAAATGCAAAGTCGGTCTTGGCCTTTCCGTGAACTTGGAGCATGTGCATGTAAATTTTGGTGCAAATCCGTCGAAAATTGCGGCAGTGCATTCGTTACACACACACACACACACACACACACACACACACACATCCTGTCTTTTATAGATAGAGATTTCAAAATTAACTGAGATTCTAAGATATGAAGCTTCTGTAAAGTTCAAAAGAGGGAACTTTGGATCTTAGCTAAATCATGATTTCCATTATGACAAAATTTTGGGAACATCATGCATTTACTTGTATCTTTTTGACCAAGCCAGTCGTTTCTATTGTATTTTAATGCATGAACTGAATCGAGTATGATGAAAAGAGGTCTAAATTTCATAACTGGATGTGGATATACAATTGAAGGTTGTTCAGGACTACGAAAGGAAGATATAGCTTTCTTATTTATTGCATTATTATCTGTTATGACTGATATTACTCTAAAGCCTATCTCTTCTCATTATTACACACTAGCAGTAGAGCCCGGCGTTGCCCGGGGATGTAACAGTAAGAGATAGATCAAGTATCGACCACCATAAAGACTGAAAAATAAAATTGACAAAGATTATTGTTTAAGGTTGACGGACACGCATGTCTTAATTAGTTTGTTTTTTTTACGAATTGGTCAGACCCAAACTCAAACAAAAACATTGTTTTCAATCGTTATGAGTCTACCGATTGACTAGAATTATATTATAAACAATTGTCTTGTAAATGGAATTTTTAAAGCATTCTGAATGTAAAAATAAAGAAAAAATGTTCAAGACAATAAGAAACACTACCTGCCAAAAAAAGTTTTGTTGAAATCGGTTGAAAAATGTAGGAAATCCGATCCTATATATAAACGAATACACACACACACACACAAACAACTTGGGTTTTATAAGTATAACTTGATATGAGTTGTCCCCCTTTCATTCTCGCGATGCCTCTTAATCGTGTTTTCAAATTGATTTCGTGCAAAAACAATTGTATTTTTTTCCAATTTTTGGCTCTGTCAGAACCACCGCAAGGTAATTTTACGCAGTCCTGTGAAGTTTTGTTGAAATCGGTTGAAAAATGTAGGAAATCCGATCCAATATATAAACGTACAGACACACACACACACACGCAACCTGGGTTTTCTAATAAGAAAGATTTAACTATGTGAAATAAATTTTCAGCTTTAAGATATGTTATATACTGTACCTATGAACACTAATAGTTATGTCCCTATCCCCAGAAATACATTGGACAGTATTTGAAGTGGGGGTAATATGCTGTCTAAGTAGTCCACCACTAGCAGTGGTTTATCTACTTCATACCGGTGGCGAGTATTGTATTTTGTTGATGTTATAAAGAATACAGTTTTATTTCCATTTTGGTTATTCCTAATTCAGTAACCTTTTTTTAGGTTATAACAAAATATTTAGTTGACATAATATGCACAGTATTCTTGTATCAGGAGAATACACTGCTAAGCATAAAAGCAAAATCACTTGTTGCAGACTCATTGCTGTTGTCGGCTAAGCCGACAACATTACCACCTTTATAATCAAAATATGTTTTTAGCTGAATTTCATCTACAAGTAAAGATACTGTTGCGGACTGGTGATTGTGTTTAAATTGATCAGAAGGAATTTCGATGCCGTGTTCTACAACATTCGTCCACAACAATTATTTAGAACAAATACTTGGAACAAATCATGCAAATAAAGTTAAAAACAAGACAAAAGTTGAATGTATAACAATAACATCAATTTATATACAATTTATACAAATATTCAAAGTTGTTCAAGAGTTGCGTACCTTTATCTGCTTGAGAAAAATAGAATACTGATACTTGTTATGTAGTGAGAAATATCACTTTGAAAGTATAGTAAGTGAAGTTTGAGAAATGTTCTAGAGAGAGATAGAGTGTGCCCGAAGGTTGCTGAGTCAGAGAATATTTTTACGCGGCAAAGTCAGAGTTTTGACTGGCGTGGAGTTGATGGGCATCTAAGTGTGGAGGTCTGACTGTCTAAAGTTGGTAATTGTCTTTAACGTCTGGTCAGCAATGACTAAGACGGGAGTCGGTGAAGGTTACATCTTGGCGCTTGGTAACTACTACTCGAAAGGTTCACACGTGTTCTGTTTTTATAATGGCTGAGTGGCTTCCAGCATATGAGCGGGAAAACAGATTGGTCGCGTGCAGGCGGTTTGATTGGTCAGAACTGACCAATCAGCAAGCCAGATTGGAGGTGATTGGCCGATGAATACTTGTTATATTGTCTGAAAGTAGAATTTGGCTTACCAGACAGGAAGAGTGCATTTCCTACAAAGAGGTAAGGCTGGCTGTGTTATGGGAGATTCCACAATACTCTATTCAATGTCTTTTTTATGTTCTCTAGTAACTTAAATTTACTTTTAATATACATAAGAAAATTGCTACCATGTTGTTCAACTATAGGATTCATACAGGTTGATAAGGTTGGTCTTCTGATGGCTGAAGAACTAGGTAAAAATAATACTTATGGTGTGTCTTAACAACCTATAACCTCTGGGTGGGGGCAGTTATACAACAATAAAGAAACAAAATCATCGTTTCTGCTGAATAATCAAACTTAAACTGTCATTAATTTTAGCTGCTCATACATAAATTTAACTGCATAGAAATATCTAAACATCTTGCACTAATAACAGAAAGGACATTACAAAATGTAAACCAGCAATCACACTTTGAAGTTTTGTTTGACATTATTCTGTGTACATTATTTTAATGTTTTCAATAAGAATTTCTAAAGTATTTGTATCACTTACATGGTCAGGAATCTCGTAATCCCCTATAGTATTAATTTCCACATCCCCACAGAATATATGTACTGCAAAATAAAATTTAATTATAACAGACTGTTGCGGATGTGTGTGTGTGTGTTGGAGAGGAATAGACGGTTTGAATTATCAGAAGGTTTAAAATTGTGTGCGTTCAATAATCTTCCACCCACAACAATTAATACAAAACAGAGAAATAACGATTCATAAACATCTTGTTTCAAAACATAACAATTGAATTTATTAGTTTTTTTTTTAAGCGTTTCACCCCAAGCAAGGCGGGAAGCCACTAGGACGCAAGGGGTTACAGAAACTTTGGAGCAAGATCAGATAGGAGTGATAGAAGAAAGGATGAGGAGAAGGGTAGTGGATAGATCAAGGCAACTGGAGATGTCGATTGACATTACACTTGAATAGTTGGAGATTATGGCTCTCAGGGAAACTGGAATAGGTAAGGGAGTTCCACAGGCGAGAGGTGCGAGACATGAAGCTATTGGAGTAGAAGAGACGGCTACATTTAGGAGTTTCGACAGTGAAAGGGTGAGAGCGGGATGCCAGCCTTGTAGAGCGCTTGAACTCATGAAGTCTGGGAACCAGAAAATGCAGCTTCTCGGAGCAATTGCCATGACAGTATTTGTAAAAAAGATAGAGAGAGGTGACGGCGCGTCTGTGAAAGAGTGACTGTAGACGAGATGCCAGAACAGGGCCAATTATATTGCATATCCGCCTCTGGAGCCTATCAAGAACCCCGAGGCAACAGAAGGGGCTCCAGACCACGTATGGCAGCAATAATCCATGCAAGGGCGAATTGTTGATTTGTAGATCTGGAGGATCGATTCCAGGGAGAAAAATGTTTGATATACATGCATGAATACTGAGTGAAAATGTTAGACAGAGTTGTGTCTCTTAGATTAGGTAATATTTGTACCTAAGTTGATAAAGTGAAAGTAATTATTAAACTGTAGTTTAGAAGAATAAAGTTTCTTTAGCATGTTTGGAATTGTGTATTATACAAGTTGGTAAAAGTTCAGAAGAGATTTCAGAGTTCGTACTTGCGTGAATGTTGATAATGGTCTTTAACGTCTGATTGCATTAGTTAAGACGGGAGTTCTTGAAGATTACATCTTGGTAGCAAGGAATGAGACGCGCGCGCGCGAGAGAGAGAGAGAGAGAAACGTGAGGGAGTTTACACGTATTTTGTTTATATATGATCGTGAATCACGTGACTGGCTCAGATGGAAAACGCGGTAAAACAGATTTGTCGCGTGCAGGCGGTTTGATTGGTCGGAACTGACCAATCAGCACGCTAGATTGAAGGTGATTAACAAATAGATGCTTATTATATATTTTGTAAGATTGTGATGGCGAAAGTTACAACAGGAATAGTGCATTTCTTAGAAGGGGTTAACTGGCTTGTTGTGGAAGATTCCACAAGAATGATTGATTTTTGAATATGGAGGCTTGATGATATGATATAATAAGAAGAGTCTCTTGCTGCCTCAGTATAATTTTTATCAAGAAAATTTAATTTTCCCTATATATCATTAATGCTGTGGAAGTTACCTCTGCTGCTTGTATTCCAAGTCATCATCATTACTTTGATCTAAAGCTCTTTTAAGGGCAGAATTCACCAGTTGAATTTTTCTGGACTCTGGTGACTCTCTAGAGGTGGGTAAGAAAGATAAATATGAGCAACAGTTTGATAAAATTCTAAGGATTGATTTCTTAAGACTAACACTAAATGTGGTACCATTTTTTCTTATGGAATGATAACGTTTCTCACATTATGTCTGTCACGTTTTTAACGTCAACCTTCTGTCCTTAGGGACAAATTCACTGTACACCGTTTTTGTTTGTTTACCCCTTTTACCTCTCGTCTCGCTGCGACTTCCCCTTTTTTGTTACTGTCTTTATTTTTATTTTTTTTTATCTATTTCTCTCTCTTTCCGCGTGTTTCTAGAATAAACTAGTCTTCCTTAGCATTAATTTCCTTCCTTTTTGATTACGCCTTACCGTTATCATCTACTCTCGGCAACGTGATAGCCACGAGATGTGTGTTTTCTTTTGGCGGGATCTTCAGAGTTCTTTTTGGTTCGGTACCTGCTTGCATGCACCCTTACTCGCCGCTCCGCCTTTCTTGATAACTTTGGTATGTTTTATTCCATTCTTCTTTTGTTTTTTCTTTATTCGCCTTTGTATTGAAAATGTATTGTGGTAACACTACAAGTAGTTTTTGCCTCCGTATTTCCGGACGCTCATTCAACAAGTTTGTGCTTTGAGGCCTGAATTTTGATATTTAGAAAGAATGTAGGACCTTTTCTATGTTTGACTTTGCTCTGTCGTTTAGACATACTGCTTTACCATGTCTACCATTGTTAATTGCCTCTTTCTGGCTCTCAACGCTTAGCTGCCTTTCCGAATTTGTTGCTGTCATATTTAACATAAATACGACACGTGCTTCGCTAGTCTTAGCCTCCTTCGCCACTACTGTCTGCCTTGCGGCTGCTGGTAGTAAGTTAACTTACTTCTTTCTTTCTTTCTTCTCTCTTGCTTCCTTCTCTGTCTCTCGTCTCCCCTTCCTCTTGGTCCCTTTCGTCGCAGCGGACTCATGTTTTTTGTTCATTTTTTCTTTCAGATTTTTTACCTGATTCACAGAATAAAATCTTTCGTTTTCCAATGAAATTCGTCCGTGTTTTGTGAATTCGAGTTTACACTGGCTGTCTAAAGCAGCGTGTTTTTTAGCATGTTGTCTAAGGCAGCACAATGTCCTCAGGATAAAAATGCCTAAAAAATAAATTAAAAGGGTAATTACTATTTTAAAATGCTTTACAGAATCTAAGATAGTAAAAAAAAAAAACTACGCTGCTTATATTTTTATAAAAAATGTCATTAAATTGATAACATAAGAGATTTGTAGGTGTTCTAAAATTCAGTAGCAAAATTCAAAACCATTTACGAAGACTAAAAAGAGTTTTAAGAGTTTAGAGAGGCATTTATGCAATATTTTTTTTATTTTAATTCTTTTCAGACTCTTGAAGATTTTGGTAAAATTTTTTGTTTTTCTGGTGTAAAAGTGGCACCATGAATTCGTATGAGAAATTTGAGTGAGTGGCGAAAAAATTTTGAAATTTTTGCAAAAATCAAACAATTGTCAGATTTTAATTTCCAGACTTATTCAGAAATGAATGAAATTAGTTCTAGATGTTTCTTTTTCAGAAAAGTATATTTTATTTTTGAAGGATTTTTTAATACAGTATAACCCGGATATAAGATGCCCGGATATAAGAGAAACCCGGATATAAGAGAGATTTTCTCTGGTCCCAAATTAGAGCTTGTGTTAGTTAATGTATATAAAATAGACCAAACCCGGATATAAGAGACTTCTTCTCCGGTCCCGACAACTCTCTTATATCCGGGTTACACTGTAAAAGGAATTGTGTTGACAAATTTGTCGATATGAACAATATTTTTTGGTGATAAAAAAAGCATTAATCAATGAAATCCGTTTTTGAAATACAGCAATGTATTTTACTTATTGGAACTTGAAATTAAGATAACGAAAAACTATTCATATTTTTCAAATACATTATTTTTAATTTAAACTTATGTACCGCTTTTTTTGCACGTACATAAATTTCCTTTCTATCGAATTTGTTTCTTTAAAAAGAGTTTTCAGGAATTATCTCCCTTGACTATCGCTCTTTCGAAGCCTTTTTCTAACAATAGCTTTATTTTTATTTTGAATAAAATTCAATTTAACACAGAAGGTTTAAAATTTATTTAAAATTCTTTAATTCCCATTTTTCTGTCATGATTGATTACCCCACGGTAGAAAAATTGGATAAAATCAAACTGAAAGAAGTAAGTATCAAGTTTTGTGTGTGTGTTTTTTTACGAATTTCCATAAAATGCGAAACCTTCATTTTCCATTTTTTGTAATTTATTTATAAACAAAGAATGAACGTTTCTCATAAAGAATGACAATTAAATCTTGAAATATTTAATATTATTTTATTCTGTATCAAAAAAATTAATTTGGTATTAGGCTTTTCGTTTTTGTTTTGTTTTTTAAATAACCGACTATTAGAATTTTTTTAAATGAATATTCGATTGTATTTAAAACAGTTCAAAAATTATATTTTTTGAAATTTTCTTAATTAAAAAAATTAAAAGCAACAAATGTCATAAATTCAATCTCCTGAGAGGATTGAAATTTCGTAACTGAACGAAATGTTTGTTACTTTTTAAAAATTATAGAGTAGAGTACATAAAAAGAATATAAAAATAAAAAAAGGAATTTTTATTGATTTTATTTTTATTAAAAAGGAAAATGTTTTCCTGGTTTTTAAAATAATGTTTTACAACTCTTTTATTGTTTTTTTTTTTTAGCTATTTCTCTGCTTAAGTTAAACTCTTTCTTTTGTTTTACGAAGTTTTCCGCCACGGACTTTCTAAAAAAAAAAAAAAAAAAAAAAAAAAAAAACAGACAAAAAACGCATTTAAACTTCTTTGAACTTAAATTTCGTTTCTGTTTTAAAAGCTAATTCGAATTAAAATAAAAGTGAATTTCCGTATATAAATAAACTTTTTAGGCATTTTAAAAACATTGCCATGTTTTTTCGTTGCTCATCAACTCATCATTGTATATGAAAAATTCTCCACAGATTCATGATGACTAAGGTTTAAAAAATGAATTTTTGAAAATGAAAAATCTTTCTTGAAGCTTTTATTTTAGTTTTAATTTGAAGTTAATAGATTGAATTTAATATTTCTAATACGCAAATATTTTAATGTATTTCAAAACGAATTTAAATTGATTGGAATGACTATTTTTTTATATCGCTCTCTAGTAAATTGATATTTTTAATTTACGATTCTCTTAAAAGCACATCGTAATTCTCTTTATTTACAGTGTGAATTTTGGACTATTGTCCTCGTTTTTCTTCTCGTTATCACAACGTTTCGGTTGCTGTGCTCTCTGGACTTCCTCAATTACATATTGATCTCGTAACCTAGCAGTATTTCTTAACTGAACCCTTCATTTACCCATGTCTAGTGATATCTCTAGTTCTTATTTTTAGTACTGTTTAACCTACAGGACAATTGTGGAAATAGGTAAGCAATAACTAAAGGTAGTGGAACGAGAACAGTCTTTTCTGTAGATTAAATTCAGTTCAGTATTCCCTGTATGTTACCCAGATCAATATGCACCTGAGGAAAGCTGAAGGACACTACAACCAAAACATTGTGATCAGATAACAACAAACTGCCCAACCCAGGGATTGAACTTACTATCACCAAATTAACAAACCAACTTTTACTCATTGGGCCAAGAATGGGCAACCTTTTTGAGAGTGTGTGCAAAAACTGAGCAAATTTCTGACACAAAATTTTTCTATGCCAACCAAAATTTTTTGAGAACATATTGATATCTCTCTAAGTATATGAAGAACTTTTTTAAATGATAAAAAAAAAATCACCCCATAGCAGTAAAGAAATATTGTAGGAAATTATGTAAAATCATGTAATGGAATGGAAAAAATTATGACAGGTTTTTTAGAAAAAAGGTTTTTGTGATATTTTTTATTAGCTTGTAAGTATAAATGTAACTGACATACATACTCGCACATTTTAAAGACACTATTAACTATTACAGTGTAACCCGGATATAAGAGAGATTTCCTCTGGTCCCAAATTAGAGCCTGTGTTAATCTATATAAAATAGACCAAACCCGGATATAAGAGAAACCCGGATATAAGATACTTCTTCTCCGGTCCCGACAACTCTCTTATATCCGGGTTACACTGTAAAAGGAATTGTGTTGACAAATTTGTCGATATGAACAATATTTTTTTGGTGATAAAAAGCATTAATCAATGAAATCCGTTTTTGAAATACAGCAATGTATTTTACTTATTGGAACTTGAAATTAAGATAACGAAAAACTATTCATATTTTTCAAATACATTATTTTTAATTTAAACTTATGTACCGCTTTTTTTTGCACGTACATAAATTTTCCTTTCTATCGAATTTGTTTCTTTAAAAAAGAGTTTTTCAGGAATTATCTCCTTGACTATCGCTCTTCCAAGCCTTTTTCTAACAATAGCTTTATTTTTATTTTGAATAAAATTCAATTTAACACAGAACGTTTAAAATTTATTTAAAATTCTTTAATTCCCATTTTTCTGTCATGATTGATTACCCCACGGTAGAAAAATTGGATAAAATCAAACTGAAAGAAGTAAGTATCAAGTTTTGTGTGTGTTTGTGTTCTTTTACGAATTTCCATAAAAAGCGAAACCTTCATTTTCCATTTTTTGTAATTTATTTATAAACAAAGAATGAACGTTTCTCATAAAGAATGACAATTAAATCTTGAAATATTTAATATTATTTTATTCTGTGTCAAAAAAATTAATTTGGTATTAGGCTTTTCGTTTTTGTTTTGTCTTTTAAATAACCGACTATTAGAATTTTTTAAATGAATATTCGATCAAATTGTAAAACAGTTCAAAAATTGTATTTTTTGACATTTTTTAATTAAAAATTAAAAGCAAATGTCATAAATCTCTCCTGAGAGGATTGAAATTTCGTAACTGAACTGAAATGTTTGTTACTTTTTAAAAATTATAGATAAAAAGAATATAAAAATAAAAAGGAATTTTTATTGATTTTAATAAAATTTTATAAAAGAAGGGAAAATGTTTTCCTGGTTTTTAAAATAATGTTTGCAACTCTTTTATTTTTTTTTTTTTTTTTTTTTTTTTTTAGCTATTTCTTTGCTTAAAGTTATTAAACTCTTTCTTTTGTTTTAAAAAAGTTTTAGGCATTTTAAAAACATTGCCATGTTTTTTCGTCGCTCGTCAACTCATTGATGACAAATCTCCAGATTCATGATGACTGATGACTAAGGTTTAAAAAATGAATTTTTGAAAATGAAAAATTTTTCTTGAAGCTTTTATTTTAGTTTTAATTTGAAGTCAATATAGATTGAATTTAATATTTCTAATACGCAAATATTTTACTGTATTTCAAAACGAATTTAAATTGATTGTATTTTTTTTATATCGCTCTCTAGTAAATTGATATTTTTAATTTACGATTCTCTTAAAAGCACATCGTAATTCTCTTTATTTACAGTGTAAATTTTGGACTATTGTCCTCGTTTTTCTTCTCGTTATCACAACGTTTCGGTTGCTGTGCTCTCTGGACTTCCTCAATTACATATTGATCTAGTAACCTAGTAGTATTTCTTAACTGAACCCTTCATTTACCCATGTCTAGTGATATCATCTCTAGTTCTTATTTTTAGTACTGTTTAACCTACAGGACAATTGTGGAAATAGAAGCAATAACTAAAGGTAGTGGAACGAGAATAGTCTTTTCTGTAGATTAAATTCAGTTCAGTATTCCCTGTATGTTACCCAGATCAATATGCACCTGAGGAAAGCTGAAGGACACAACAACCAAAACATTGTGATCAGATAACAACAAACTGCCCAACCCAGGGATTGAACTTACTATCACCAAATTAACAAACCAACTTTTACTCATTGGGCCAAGAATGGGCAACCTTTTTGAGAGTGTGTGCAAAAACTGAGCAAATTTCTGACACAAAATTTTTCTCTATGCCAACCAAAATTT